CCTCCCAAGGCGGGTCTCGTCCAAAAGCGAAACCTTGGGGCGTCCGGCCCTTGAGGATCTCCGAGAACCGGTCGAAGCCGGTGTTCATAAAGTGCCTCGCCGCCCGTGCGAGCCCGTGACCATGTCTCAAAATTGGAATCGCACCCGCCAGCATGGCAAGTCTCCTTTGTGGTTTCCTTTAGAACCACCCCAAAAGGGATCTTCCCCAAAAAAAGATACACCCAAATGGCAGTGGCTCAAAATTAAACAGGAGGGGTAACGCAGGCCTTGGTCCATGTTTCCACTCACCAGGGTTCCATCGTGCTTCCGGCCTTTTGAGCCACCGCCAAATGGGTAAACAAAAATTCATTGGGGACCCTTGAGGTGGACCAAATTCGGGGATTTCTGTCCACCAATCACTTTTCAGGAATTGGGTTCACCGTGCACTTGCTGTTGCCGGTTTTGGGCCTGATCCCCCCCCCCCCAATAAATCAGCTGCGCCCACAGAGGCCCCGTGCGAACTTGAGTGAGTTTCATAGCCCAAATGGACTCCTTTCCACCAAAAAAAGACCCGCCTCCTGGACTCCTTCATGGCAGTGGCCACTCGCAAGATGTCCATGACCTGCGCGAATCCAAGCACGCAAAGAACACCCCGAAACGGGCGGGTAAAAAAAAGGGGGCGTGTTTTTTTTTTTTTTTTCTCGGACGCATGTCCATGGATTATGTCCAACTTTGGGTTTCCACGGAAAAACAATGTGTGAAAACACCCATGCCAGTTGAAGGCGGAGTGTGAAGAGGCGCAGGGCGCCTCATCCTTGGTCACATCGAACATGGTCAGCATGTGCCTTGCTGTCCTGCAGCTTTCTCACATGCTGAGTGGATGGCCCAAAAAAAGTTCAAACTGTATATGTACCACCGAAACGGTCTTCCCAAAAAGCTTAAAGTTCATGAACTCAGGAAGTGAGCTTTGGTCAAAATCCACGAGAGCCGGGTTTCTACCGCTCGGGTTGGCTCTAAATGTACGGGTCGATCGCGTACCTTCGGAGGCCCGCTAGCCCCAAAAAAGGAACAATATGTGGTGCATGACCAAATTTCCCTTGGGGTAGCGGCTTGGGGACGAACAAGGCATCTAAAATACCTGCATGAAAGCATGAAAGCATAAATACATGAATAAATAATTAAATAAATGAATGAATAAATAAATAAATAAACAAACAAATAAATAAACAAATAAATAAAGTAAAAAAAGTAAAGTAAAAAAGAAAAAAGTAACATAACATGACATAAAAAGAAATAACATGACATAAACTGACATAAAATGAAATGATAATATATACATTTATATCTATGTGCTTATTTCAAAAAGGAAGATAATACAAAAAAAAGAATCAGAAAAAACAGCAAGCAAGCAAGCAGCAAGCCAGCCAGCCGGCCAGCCAGCCGGCCAGCCAGCCAGCAAGCAAGCAAGCAAGCAAGCAAGCAAGCAAGCAGGTAGAAAATTACGTGAAGGAAACAATAAAGCAAAACAAGCAAATCACTAAATTGCTGCATTAATAAATGACCAAATAAATAATGTGACAAAATAACATAAACAAATAAGTAAATACGTAAGTGCGCAAGCAAGTAGGTAGGTAGTAAGCAAGTAAACAAACAAACAAACAAACAAACAAACAAAGAAAGACAGAAACAAACAAACAAACAAACAAACAAGTAAACAACACATAATAAACAACTGCATGAATGGAATGGCATGGCCTGGAGAAGCATGAAATGACTGGAAATAGGTTGAAACAAATGCAATATACATGAAGTGAATAATTAAAACAGACATGCAGAAGTCAAGCAAAGCGCAAATGCGTGCGTATAGTGATAATACTAATAATATTCCTAATAGTATTAATAATAATATTATTAGCAATAACACGCATAATAATAATCCTAATAATAGGAATATGTATATATACATGTAAATACATGTTTATATATATATATAGTGATATGTATATATACATACATACATTCATATGTGTGCATCTCCCAGTGTGAAACTGCAACATCTCCCTGCAACTCCAGGCTCCTCGGCGCGGGAGTCGGCCCATCGCTCACCGTGTAGCCCAACCTGGCGGATCCGAAACGATCGATCGGAAGCCATCGATCCGCAGGGGATCCGCCTCAGGGGGTGCTTTTTTTTTTCCCAGGATGGGTGTTCCCAGGATTAATAAGGTTGACCCAGGTTTATTCATCCGCTTCAGTCATGTTGACCCATTAATACACCAATTTTACCACTCTTAGGGGTGAAAACCCCTCCAAAAGTGGTCTGAATCCCCCACTAAAACGGGACACCCCCCGATTTAATCAACCAGGGGTTGATTCATCCGGGGTTGACATTAGGGGACGCCCGGACACTGGGAGAATTGTGCGGCTCCCATCTGGCCATGGGTCATAACCTATCCATTTTGTGGAAAATGGATGAATATTTATGTACAACCTCATTAGGGGTACAGGGTTTTGACCCAGAGCCATCTGAATTTGAGTGGGGAGCACCGGAACACCGGAACAAGAATGATAGGACAGAAATCAACACCCAAATGATGAGGGAATTTTTGTGGACACCCAACCAAACAAATGGTAGGACACAAATTTCTCCCTCAAAGGATTTCCATACCTAGTTGGTTCTGCCTGTTCTAAGGTTGGACCCCCCAAAAGGTTCGGTGTCTCTAAACTACTCAAAAGGGGTACCCCAAAGAAAGACAGACCCATGTCCCTTGGTAGTGGTTTGTTGGGGTAGCGGAAACCATCTTAGATCCCTGCTCGCAGCTCATGGTTGTAGAAAACGGTTTGAAAGGCCAACCGAAATGGGGGGGGGTGCTCAAAATAGGAATCGATTTCCTAGCATGGTTTGCTTGCAACTTTTGTAGGGCCTTGGACAGGGGAAAGGGGGAAAGGAGGAAAAGGCCAACCGAAGTCTGTGCCCAAGATGAGTCCCATTGATTAAAAGTGATTTGCCCTTAGCAAGCACCGCGGATGGCAAACATCCTGCAATTGGGAGATGAAACTCCATGAATACTTGCACAATCACCCAGTTGCCATCTGGTGCAGGATCTTGCCCACAGTATCGCAGGAAATGACAAGCTTCAGCCCTTTCCACAACCATGCTCTAGCTGCGAGCGCACCTGGATTTTCTTTGCCGCTTCCATCTCTGCGCAGCCCGGGCGGACGCATAGGCAAGCACGCTTAGCGTGTACGGCTTGGACCGCTTCGAGGGCATGGGGTGCTTGGATTGCTCTGGCTGCGTGACTGGAACCGTCCCGCGGGCCAGCCCCAAGTTGCCGCGCACTGGGCAAAGCATCACAGCCACGCGCTGTCAGGAGTCAGGAGTCAGCAGCGTTTTCCAAAGCCGCAGTGCTGCAATGTGTCCCTGCAGTCTCCAAAAAAAATATTGGAATTGGAGCTTCGTCAAGTATCAAGTGGCAAATCGCACACGCTTGTCCCCGGGCTTGCTCAAGTGAACGCGAAACCTTCAAATACGTTTGCGAAGCATGCTGGTTTTACTGCCTTCGGTTCAATTTTGCGTAAATGCCGGCAACCCGGTTGCACAATACATCCTCTGATAGCAACAGCTTCTGCCGGCATGTCAAAGATGGCTATTGAGATGCTCATAGCTGCAGCGTGAAAACTGGCATCCGTCAGCTCTCTTATGGCGTTTCACGTGAGCCACAACCGCCAATGGGCAGACCTCTGCGTGTGTGTGTGTGTGTGTGTGTGTGTGTGTTGCGGGGGGGTGGGGGGGTTAGGGGATACTTGAGCTGACAGGGAAAACCCTCCAAAACGCAAGAAAACGACACCGGATGGAACCCATTGGCTGGGGCAAACGTATGCGCAATGCGGTGCTGCCTCGCCTGCGTTCACTGGGTTCTTTGTGTGAGTACAGGAAGGAGGTGGCGTTGTCATTTTTCAGCAGCCTGGGCAAATGAAACTCCCAGCTAGGTTCCATGGTGGATGGGAAGCATTGAGCCAAACTCCCATGGCAATGAGGGCCTTCGCCTTTTGCAGAAATTGGAAGCAACATGGGAGTGCATTCCGTCCAAATTCGATCCACTTTGGCGTGGCTCCCAATTTCCTTTGCCAACAAGAAGGGCACACTCTATTATCAAGCCCAGTGCTTCCAGAAACACAGTAGGTAACCAGGGTGTCTTGCCTCCAGGTTTTACATGATCATTTGCCTTGGCTAGCCACACAAAATGGAAGAACTGGGGAGAATGCCAAGCAAAACTGGCACGTTTCTTCCGACTAAGTGCCCTGCCAATCGTCACACATCCTCGAGCCTGGGCTGGCAGATTTGTAGCGGAATGGGTGTCCCCAAAATGCAAATGCTCCTCAAGAATGTGACACACACACACACCAGGTTCAGCAACTATGAGTTTAGCCATCCCGGGTCAGCACTTGCTCAAACATACGGTCCATCCTAACAAAGGCAGTCCTTCGCAGCTTGCTCCTCCCCAGCCGCAGTGGATGTGTCTGTCTCTGTGTGTATGTTTGTGCCTATGATGCAAGACGTTGACCGAACTCGTGGTATCTCTTGTGTTTCTGGGGAGCTACTCCCTGGACGAACAAAAACAAAACTCTGCGGATCTGTGAGGAGAAGCGTATTCCCAGTCGGCTCCAGTTGGTGCCTTTCCAAACAGCTTCCATTCGAGTGTGTGACGAAATAGGGGGACCTCCACATTGGTGGCTTTTCTGTCGGTTCCCTTCCGAACCAACCTGAAAACGGTGCCCTCAGAAAACGAATTCATCTGCAGCCAAGGTGCGCAGTCTATTCCGCGAGGCACCCAAAATAGCTCGGCGGCGCGTGCGGCGCGCTTTGGTCGATGAACTAACCGGCACGGGAGGTCTGTTGAAACCCCTTGCACTCCAAAACAACAGGGACCGATGGTACATAAACGCCGCAAAACAAAACAAAACAAAAAAAAAACAAGCTTGCCCCCCAGGGGTTTTCCCGGCGAAGGTAGCCGCGCATGGGCCTTGACGCCCGGGTTCTTCAGGTGGCTCAGGGAGGCGTTGATCTCACAGCCGGCGCGGGACTTGGGAGCTGTCCGATGGGACGTGGAACTCTCAAAGCAAACGACGGGAATGTCCCCCAAGAGGCACGTCCTACACCTTCAAATCGTCCATCATTGGGAGGGCATCAAGTCCCGCAAAAACAGGAACAGGATGTGGGTATGGGTCAAATTTCAAATCCTCAGGGCACAACATTTTGACTTTTGTTCCGTTTACCAGGACAAGGCAACCCATTTCGGGATTGCCTTATGTTTGACAACCGCAGCCCATGTGTGTATGTGTGTGTTTTGGGGAAATGTCCCCATTTCCCCATGTCTTGTTAATTTGAGGGCATTAAAAGCCGTACAGTAGCGCCATAGAATAGGCTTCCGTTTGCCCCCTTCCCCCCCACAATGTTAACCCCGAATTAATGAACCCCTGGTTCATTCATACTTTTAGTGGGGGATTGAGACCACTTTTGGGGGGGTTTTCACCCCCCTCATAGTGGGATGGGTCTATGAATCCTGGGTCAACATTCGGGGGAGACTGGCGAGAAACGCCCGCAAGCGCCTCCCAGAGGCGAAGCTCTAAGAGGTCCAACTCCGGCCTGCACGAGGAAAAATCGCCTTTCGAAGGGCCCGGAACACCATGGGGTCCCAATCATAGGTGACCTTTTGGACACGTGGATCGCCCTGGTACATGGACCAAACCCATCTAAACCAGCGGCTTGATCTCTTTTTTTTTACCCAAACCCCATCAAAAAGGCACCCCAGAGGTCCCAATTTCCTTCGCAGAAAACCCAAACGAGGGCGAAAGACCCGAGCTGGGGACGCTGCCCGCCGCCCATGCCAGTGGTGACCTGGAAAAACGAACTCAACAAGGACAGTTCTCATAGGCTTCATACTGTGGATGGATGCGAAATCCATGTCGCACAAGGAAATGAGTTACCATGCTTGAAACCATAACGTTTCTACGGCATTTACAGTATGTTGGGGAATCATGATGTCAAGGTTTCTTGGGAGGTGCAGGATTTCGTCCATCCTCAGTGCGGGCGTTTCTCAATTTGGGGACCAATTGATTTATCCTTTTGAGACAGTTCCTTGATGGGTCACGGTCTGGTGCTCCTTTTTTCTCGGGGTTCCTTCTCATGGGTGTCTACCTTCTCTACCGGGTTGATGATTGTCCCCGGCGTTTGCAAGTGCAGGGGGTCTTGTGACCACACAGGGCCGACTTCTTCTCGGAAAAAATTAGGTGCGCCCCCACCCAGGTGGGATGAACAGCTTCTTGGGGCACGGCCCCCAACCCCCGACCCCCAGTTGGAATTTCCAGGGATTCTTGTATCCCACCTGAGTAATACCCCCCCCCCCCAAAAAAAAAAGGCGGTCGATTTCCTTTTGGTGATGGCCAAGCTGTATCTTAGAAGCCTTGTTCTCTTTTGTGGTGTGACTGGGCGCATCCTCAAACTTAGCCTCCAAGATAACTTTGAGAACCTCGAGATGACCCCGCTATGTCAGCAATCAATGGCAATGTGTGCTGTAAAGAACCACCCCTAAACGTAGAGCACCCAAGCAGGTTCTTCACAAACAGATAAAGGCATGGCCCGTTGGGGCAGTTGGGCAGCCCGGCATCCACCACTGCTCGAGGCGCCGACCGTCCTTAACCAGAGCCGGCTTTTTGAATTCAATATATGAGTCGAAATCAAAGCCGATCGGCATTAAGATGGACCCAGAACCGTTTAAAAAAAAGGCGGCCGCACCCATTTGTGGTTGGGACCTTCATCTGCCCGGGCTTTGATTGTGGCTCATATGGCTTGTCCTTCCGCACACTCATGACATGTACTTGCTACTTACCACCAAGAAAGGGGGGAGGGGTACCAGGTCCAAAAGAAGCCGAGCCACCCACACGAGCAACTCCCGCAACGACCGGTGTTGAAGATGTTCATCCGAGGCGCTGGTGCCGTCCAGCAGGTGCTTCCACGCCGGATCCCTGGGCTCTGAAGTCTGGGGCTCCCCCTTCCAAGAGTGGCCGGACTTTTTCAGGAAGCCGAAGAACATTGAACTGATGTGCTGGACTTGTTATAAACTAACGCCGAGAAAAAAATGTGCAGCGTTGGAACCACCAACCACAAGTGGACGTGGATCCCCACCTATGGCCACCAAAGGGTCCAGTTTTTTTGAGTGGCTCAAAATTAAACGATCGGAGGGGCAAACCGCAGGTGTTGCTCCATGCTTCCACTTTCTAGGGCAACCCATGTTGGGGTTACCCCTATTTTTGGGGTTACCCCCTTTTTTCTGAGCCACCGCCAGTTCTGAAATTGTCCGCAAGGTCCAGGCTTGCAGTCCGGGGGCTTCAGAGGCACCTGGAGACGAGAAGCGAGCGACTTGCGAAAGGTCGGGGACTGAGACGTGGGTCCCCTTAAAGGAAACCACCAGTTGGATGGTGTATAAGCTTCATTCCCAAAGTTGCCCTGCCTGTCGCACCAGCAAGCTTGGCAGTTGCAAGTGGTGCTGATTGCAGTAAGAACTCTCAACTTGGGAAGAAAAGTGAGTAACCCTGCATAAGATATATGAGGCCGTGACCCGCCGAACCCCCCTTTCCACGAACTCCCTTTTTCAAGTGCGCTCTTACTCTGCATGGGGGCGGAACCCGCATTGAGTTGCTCCCTTTCCCAAGTTTGGGGATGCTTCAATTTGTTGGGACCTTTGGTTACTTTTCATCCTCCGCTCAACCGGCGCACCATTCTCTCGCGGTGGAAGGGCGCGGGTGGCTGGCGCTCGACCTCACGCCAGATCAGAACTTATGCGAGCCTCGGTCAAAACACTACCGAAATGTGGGTCGTGCTGTCAGCAGTCCCTTTATAAGGTGTTCCTTGTCCTGGCTGTTCATGATTCATGGTCATGGCTTTCTTAGGACGCTTTACATCGGCTGACCATCCCTACCCCAAGCAAAGGGGTGCGAAGAGACCATGGCACATGCGAGCCACGATCGAAATATGCACGTCCAGTTGTCCCCCTGAATGAGCGAGCCTCCGCGTGTGCCCTCCAAAAAGTAATACTAAATTTTGACCGAGCCCTACGTAGGTCATGGTTCGCTTGACAGGAGCCAGCCTGCATGTCCTTTTGAGCGTTGATGACGATATGTACCAATTTCAAGACCACGGCAAGAAAAAAAGTGAGGTGCGTGCACTTGGACCTTGCATCTGCGCTCTCCCCGAAAGAGCTAAAAACAACACCTTGAGCTTTGGGACCTTTACACGGGAAACCCTGACCCTCGGACCCCAAGACCTCGTTATTTCAGGTTTTGGGGGGGCCCTCATATCTCCTAAGGTCAAAAGCCGATCTGAGTCCATTGGCAGCGAATCTCACCATCAGCCGAGGTGCCAAAGGCTGGTAGAGTTTCACCACCACCTCTGCTCGCTGATTGCAGCTTCTGCCCAGTGCTTTCAGCGTTTCGCTGCTGTAGTAGGTGACCAGAGGAAACCATCCATGTAAAACCTCTCTAGCCATACCGATCGGTTGTCTTTAGGGCCAACTGGAAGCGCTGGGTGATGCCAATGGACGAAATCCACGCACCAGTTGATGGGTGGCTTGACCCATGAAAATAGTATTTCCCAAAGCAGAGGTCGAAAAAGCCAGGCCCGGCACATCACGGACCTCCGTGGGCGCCAGCCTGGCGCAAGGCACAGATCGACGTTCGGTTTCGACCCCGACGATTTCGGAGGCGAGCAAACAAAGAAACGACCGTGAAATGGCCCTTGGCTTTGGATTGGTGACTTGGATTTGAGATGCATGTCCTGGTTCTTGTAAGCCTTGCTGATTTTGGTCTGGATTGGATTTTGTCCACATGTCCTGGTTCTTGTGGGGTAAATGGGAAACCAAACCAAGAAAGGCCGGGCCTGATGGAGCCAGGAGATGTCAGGCCCATGTGGCAGAGCTCCTTGTAGACATCCAACCTGCCGCATTTGCGGGAGGTTGGCTGCCTTCGCAAAATGGTTAAGTTGACCCCTACAACATTGGGAAACCCCATGGGAGAACCCAACCCCAGACAAAAATGGGAAACACCTACAAATTGGGGAAACTCCAGACAAAAAACAAATTTGGCGTCATTCAAAAAGCGAATCATTTTCCAGTTTCCGCTATCTAAGTGCCACACAGAGTCTTCACCGCCGGCACCTGGCTTACGAAGACATGGAATCCATCTCTTCCACGTCGATCTCTGTACCCCCCCCCCCAAAAAAAAGGGGTCGTGCAGTGCAGAAAGGATTTCCTTCTTGTTGGGTGACCCCCCAAGATGGGTGAAGTGTCCTTCTGGCCTCCACTGAAAACCAGGAAAACAGCGGGGGGACCAGCTGTAAGAAAGAAACGGATGTCAGTTGGTCCTTGGGTCCGCAAGCTGCGCTTCGCACCTTCCCTCGGGCCGTTGAAAGCCTAAAGCCGCGCCTCGCGAGGGATGAGCAACGGCTTTTCGGTGGCCTGGCGGGTGCTGCATTTGCGAGATATGCGGGGGGGGGGGGAGGAGATATGGCCATGGGTCAAAATCCAAATCGTACCCCCAGTGAACATCCCAATCCCCACTAAAATTGGTTCTAAAATGGGTGGTGCACCTACCTCAGAATGGTACCATTGGTTTTGAACTATGGCCATATGGGGTGTGGCTCCTGGGTGAGAGAGTCTTTCTGTGTGCTTTCCCGGACCGCAGATTTGGTGGATGTGGTTCAACCTGGGCGGTGAGCTACAACATGTGAGCTTTTTGAGAATGGCGGATGCCTCAAAAATTGCAAATGCGCCAACCACATCCCAGCAGCAAACCAAATGGGTGTGTGAGTCTAAATAGGATTGAGAAGGTTCTCCTTTTAATTTCCCTTTTTAAACCAAGCCCTAAAAGAGGGTACTCTGGGAAAAACACGCAACCCCAAGTGTTTGAGCCACTGCCATGTGTGCCACGGCCTGCTCTGGCGCCAGCTCCTCCTGACGTGAGTCCGACAGCGTGCAGAAGACAAACCAGCCCGAAGAAAGCATATAGATGCCCGAAATATTGCAAAACCGACCACGCTCACCCAAAACCCCGAAAACTTGCGATAGTTGGTTCCCATGCGTGCAAGTATTTGAGGGCATGCACTCCAGGATACACAGCAATGCAAAAGGATCTGCATCAAATTCTCCCCTGTGGTTTTCTGAGTGCTCGAAA